TAAGGTTGTCTGCTCTATTAAATGCGCTTTCCTTCTTACACCACATAACTCGGCTCATTATGCAGGGCAACAAAAATGTTTTTTGATATCGAGTTGTTTTTCGGTTTTTTTTATAACAATTTGCCGGTTGGCGCTTAAATATTCATAAGCTCTACAGGTTTGTTAGGTTCGTGCGCCACACGCTCGTCGCCAGGTCGCATTCAACTGGATTCTGTTGCGAGCCCCCGAAACTGAAACTGTTTATTCATGAATACTGAGACCTTACGTACTGACTTTGAAGTTCCTCTTCAGTTATTATTGTTGTTTACTACTAATTTTACAATTTATTTAAAAGTGTTTATATTGGAAATCAAAGTTTACAACAGCTGACAAGAATTTTTGATCTTTTTTTTTAAATTTCTTATTGCCAGCTTAATGGTTTTTCTCTTAATGCGAAATAGTACATGCGAATACTACATCGATAAGCTATTTAAATTTTTTTAAATTTGTTAAAGCAAGTTTTATATTGGTTCGGCGTAGGGCTTATCAACTAACACTCCCTTTGGCCTTCGAGTGCTTGAATTTTACTTGAAAAAATTATGATTAACATTATGACAAATATTTTATACACACATTATCAAACTTCAAATGCAGCGTAATAACCGATTAATTACTTAGAAATATGCTATCGAGGGCTATTTCTGTTTCTTTTTCGAATAAAGATTAGAAAAATAAATTTATTTTTGCTCTATAGCTGCCGTAGTTTTTATGCCCAAGCAGTTTGTTAATGGCCCTTTTGGCATGTGCCATCAATGCGACAAGGGCTGCTCGTAGATACCCTGTAACCTCCGCAGGCCCCCCGTCCCTAACCATTGCCCGACTGTCGCTGCGGATGCGCCCTAATAAGCCAATCATAATAAATGTCAAGCATCGAATTGGCTTAATGCCAATGACCACTTGTGTGCCCAATCGACTGGCTCGAATCGCCCTACGCCCCGCCACCCTTCCGCTCATATCTACAGTCTGTCAGTTCATCATTAGCTGGTCGCCAGCTGGGGCTGTGCCCGTCGTCTGGAGCTAATCATTAACGCTTAGCCGCCTGAGTTCATGCGTTGCTCATACGCCGTGTGTATTTGTTTTTTCTCTTCTCTATGGTATATAAATCGATTTAAATGGTGCGAGACAAAGGCATTATTTATGAGGAGGGGCTAAAAGATTGACGAGCAGATGCAACTTCAGATTGCCAAACACCTGGCACAATGCAAGTGCACCATTTCTCAAGTGATGAAGAAGAAGAAGGGGGCAGGCAGCGGGTGCATTGACAAAACTGCCCTATCCCAAGTGTGTCCCATGATGGTGTCATATGTGAGGGCAGAATAAGCTAGACTAACTAGCTAGAAACAGCCAAAAAAATTGCCTAGACGGAAACCTCATTTGTAGGGCGCAAAGATTTCTGTAGATTAAGGTTTTCAGAACTATTCCGGGCTATGGTTTTATCTCTTAGGATCTTTAAGAATTCATTGAAGACCTATTTTTAAGGAAATCGAAGCTTAATTTACAACTGACAAAAATTGCTTAAATATTAAATAATATATATACAAAAAACTAATTAACTCCTTCAAGTAGATATAAATTAGGAATTGCTTACTAAATTTCGGTAATCCAATATTGACAATTCAAAGATAAAGTATCTCAGCTGCTTGCAATATCTTTTAATTCTGCCTGCCATTTATCGAGACGCTTTAAATGGCTGTACACCTGGCACAAGCTGTCGTTAATCAAATTTTGTTTGTCCTGCCCCAAAACGCGATATATATATATTATATTTCTTATATTTTCGCCCAGACGTTTCTCATACCCGCGGCTTGCCTCATCCTAAGCAAACTGTATGCTTTTAATATCTTTGACTCTGTTGTCCTTGGTGAAGGTTTTTTGCGCCGTTGCGCAGGTTTGTTTGGGTTTGATGTGGGTAGCCTGTTGCTTATGATAGCTATATTATATTACAAAGGCTGTCGCTCCCACTCTCTCTCTCTCTCTCTCTCTCTCTCTGTCTCTCCCTCTCGTTCCTCTCTCTTGCTCTGCTTTTCTGTCTAGTCCTGTCAGACGCGCTCTTTTTAGCTCGGCAAGGGCATTGCCAGCAGCAAGCAAAGCCAGCAGCTCCAGGGGTTGCTTTTTGGGCTTGGAGGGTGCAAAGTATGTGTCAATGGACAAAGGATGTGCGGAGTTGTTGCCATAGCCGCAAGCTGTCGGCGCCGCAACGTCGCCGTCTGCGTCACGCTTTCAGTAGCCGTTCGAGTCTCGTTTACTGCGCTTCGAAAACAACAACAACAACAACAACGACAACTGGAAATCTCTAAAACCGAAAATTGTTTATTTCATTTAAAAAGCGGGGTAACAACAAAAACTACTTATGCACGTTTTTTGCTCTATTATTATAAAAAGCCAAACGAACTTGAACTGTCGCTAGTTTTGTAACAAAGTAAACAAAAAAAAAACAAATGCTGAAAAACTGAAAATCATTTGTCGCCATCTATTTTGCTATTATGCAGTGCTTTTTTTTAAGTATTGACAAATTTGTGCTTTGACCGGCGTATGATTAAAATCTCCCCAAATTGTCTATGCGCAAAGATAAATCCCCCGCGGCAAGGCAACTATTTGAAAAATTCACGCATTGAGAGCATTTTAATGTAGTCGCCAGTCGGTGGGCTATTAAAAATAGTTTTCATTATGATATACTTGTTTTTTTTAGATCCCGACCGATTTGCTGATTGATTGTTCAGTGTGAAAATGATCATAAATTTTACTGTCTTGTCTAGTTTCGAAAGTTGCCATGACGCTTCCAAATTCAATACAATACGCGCCAGCTGCTATGGGTGCCGTGGCAGTGCTTCCCAAACTGTGCGTGCGGTTGCAATACAATTGTGAAAACGCGCGCGATTTGTGTGCGTTTTTCGAAAAGCAGTACCCGTGCGCGTTTTGAATGCGATTATCTTAAAATAAAGGTTGTAGTTTAAATAATATAGCATGCGTAGAAGACAGGCTAATGTTTTACAAGCAAAAGTATTTTATAAAAACTGGAATATATGGGATAGGCTTATGTTTTTAAATAAATAATAAGCCCATGCTGCATTGGTAGGGAAACCTTGCGCGTGTTTCTCAGAGCATGATTGTGTTCTTCAAATTAGGATAATAAACGCAACGAAATAATTATGTGTTAAAGTTAAAACTGTACAAAAATGCCAAATAAGTACACAAAACAATCGCGATAATATTTAGTTATGAAAATATGTAGAACTACTTTGTTATAACATTTACTAAAGCCAATATTTGTATGCAAATTTGCGAAATATAATCAAATTTGCGTGCTAGACAGCCATTTGAGGCCATTTACTTATTACCTCACTAAATGGTGTTTGCACCTCCTTTTTTTTCGCTGTACCTGCCCTCCCCCTCCCCCTCCCCCACTGCGAGCACTTAACATCAGTTTGACATACCAAGGGCCACATTTGATAACTCTCCCTTCACCTTGACACGAATGTCTGTGCGATTGCCTTGCCTCAATATCCTTATTATTGAGCTGCCTGCATTTGAAAATAAAGTTATTTTCTCTTGATGTCGTCATTTGGCGGATATTCTTGTATTTTCTAAGGTAAACCAAAGACTTTGGAGCCTTGGCTGCACAACCGCAAAAGAACACAATAACCGCCCACAATTTGTAGGCCAGAACAAAAATTTAATAGCCTTTGTGTAATACTAGAAAGTAGAATCCATAAAATTTCGCTTTCAAAACAAAAACCTGTCAAGATTTACGATGCGGCCCAGAGGGGAGGGGTGCGGAGGGGTGGTCTAACAGGTTGCAGCAGCATCGGCATCAGCTCACATATAAACAAAAAGGGGGCCGCAAACATATGGGCGCCTCGAACAGATCAAGAACTTCCTCAACACATCGTTGATGTGAATTTGATGTTATTTTTGAACATACACACACACACACACACACACGAAAATTATGAGGCGGCTTAGAAACTACTCCTTCCCCGTATACAGAGCTCTCTATTTAAAGGGATTTGCCTCTGGGCTGCGAGGTGAGCATAAATTATAAAAATATTTCAATGTGTGTCAAATTTTTTTTGGCCAGGCAGGCAGGCGAGGAATGTTGTAGTGCGTGTTCTGCATCATTTTCAACAAATTACCAAAGATTATTAAGTGCCATCTTATTAATGGACCATGCATCGTTTTTCCGCCAGACTTCTTGGATGATTTGATAAAACGACTGTTGATAGCCGGGGCTAATCAGTTGTCGTACGGGGAAAACTGAGTGAATTGTATGTGAATAACAAAGTTTAAAAACGAATAAGCATAAAGAAGTGCTTTATTTTTATTTATATATAAATATAAATATATATATTGGTAAATATGTACTTACCTGAAATTCCCAGCACACAATTGATTATCTATATATTGACATCACGCACTGAAAGAAAACAGAAGTTAGTTAGATTAAGAGCAGGAGTAAGTAACAGAAATAAAATGAGAGATAGAGAGATATGATTCAACATAACTTGATAATATTACACTTATAACAAAAGCTTAAAAGCCTGCAAGGCTTAGTTGAATTAATGAGAATCGCATAGAAAGGCGATATAGTCAGATTTTATATACAAAAAATTGTTTTCAAATTAATAATTTTTATGGAATTCATCTGAAGTGAACTTATTTGTGTTTTTCTTTTTTTAAATTGTTTGAAAAAAAGGTATAAAAATTGGACTTATATATTTTTTACTCGATCGGCAATCCCTGCTTATAAAACTCTTATCTTTATCTGCCTGTTACTGCAATAAAAATGCACTTCAAATATTTATTTAATGATATTAAATATTAAAGGGAATTATCGTACAGTTAAAGGGCGGCATTGGCGCTCATTTGAAGCGAGAGCTACGTAACGTCGCGCGTTGCGTTACGTCGCGTACGCGGCAATTGTTTGCTTGGTACGCTGCGGCGCATCGCTCAGAATGAATTCGCATGGGCAGCGCGACGGACGTCCGTGTCGAAGCTTTCCTCGATTCTTTAAGTAGTTTTCTTTATGCGAAACAACGTCGCGACGCGCGCATTCGCGTTACACATTATCTTTGATAGTTGTTGTTGGTGTTTTCAGAAAATGGTTTTCTTAGTTTTTCTTAAGTAAAAATATAGAAATGTTTATATATATTTTTTGTAACTTTAATTTATGAATGGAGGACGCGCTGAGTGAGTCGCCGAATCGCTGGATAATAAATTATGCGCCAAATACCAAAAATATTTGTATTCAAAATGAAAATTCCAAATAATTTATTCGTAACCAAAAAGCTGAAAGATAAAAATGTGTAACAATAATTGATGTGATATGTGGAAATAAAATATAAAAAAAAATAATAATAATAAATAACTGCAAATGAAGTAAATATTTGAAACAGTGAGGAAATTTTTAGGAATTTTTAAAACGTAAGAACATTTAAAAGAAATTGAAATTGAAATATTAAATAAAAATGGATGCGAAAATATTAATAAACATAAACAAAAAAAATGTTATCAAAACCTGAGAGCGCGACAAATATACAAAAATAAGTTTGTAATAATTTCCCTGATATATGTTGTATATATTATTGAATTTGAATAGTTTTGTGAAATCAATCTATATCTTACGGCTTCACATTTGCTTAGCGTTATTTAAGCGTTAAGTAATTCTATCCAAGAGTTGGTTATCTTCAACAACTAAATATTTACAAGCCAATCAGCTATAAAGTGTAAAGAAAATACACAGTCGATCGCTTGAGAGTCTTATATAGAATGCATTCTTCATACGCATTCAATACTCTATGTGCAACATGACCGCATTTCGAATATACTAAAACGACATCTCCCGCCCGTTCTCTATGCTCCCCAGCACTTAGCACGACTTACGGATCGTATCAAATTACGAGCACAAACAACTAAAACTCATACAGTTTCGATACAGAGCATACAAATAAAAAACCAATTAATGTGACTAAAATATAGCATAGTAAAAACTGGAATACGCATAATGAGGAATCCAAATTCTCAAAATTCTTTTGAGAGCAGTGCGTGGAGCACAAGTATTTGTAATACGAGTGATAACTGTAGTTCCTGCCAAAGATTGCACAAAATAAAGGGAAATGTTGTATCCAATATTTGTGCTGAAAATTCGACATTCCTGCGTCTGTTATTGTTAACGCTCTGCCTCAGCTCCATATTGGCCGCTCCGCAAACCTCCTGCATACTCTGTAATAAGGAAGATCTGAGGGCCAAGGAGCCAACAATAAGCGACAGCTACGAGGAATTCACATTCGATCATCAGGTATCGCGGCAAGATGCCATTCAAGCGCTGCGCAAGTTCAATGAGAGTAAGGCTTAAAGCTCTTCTGTCTAATCCATTCACGATACATCCAATCCGTCAGATCATAACCAGAAAATCTACTTCCCACCGATCACGAAGTGATCTCTAAGATCTCTTCCTTGAATCAAGGCTGCGATCTGATGTATCGTGAATGGTTTCTTAATAACTTACGCTCTCTTTACTTGGAAGTCAGCGAACTCTATGTTTCTCTTTTGCAGCACAAAACTCTTGCAACTCCATGAAGTGCACGCCGACGGTGCTGAATTATTGTCTGGGCCCACAGTTCCTAAATGATCATTGCTGGTGCGAGCTGCAGCATAGGGAAGGTGAGTAGACGGCCAGATAATGATTATGATATTAAGATATTTATGAGCTGCCGGTACATTCAACATGGCACACATGGCGCCTCAACAATAACAAACAAGACTGTAAACTCTGCAAATTCTCACATGTAAACAAAAGATCTGAAATTCTTGAATAACATGGAAAATGAAAACGTTGGCGAGTGCCACTAACCCACTTAAGTAAAGCTTAACTAAAGCTTCATTAGTCTATTACGTTAAAACAACAATTTCATTGGCTAATGAGCGAGCGGCACGCAATGAGCGCAGCTCAAATATGATGCAAGCTAAGCGAACCACTAAACTGTCCCATAATTGTGGGTGGAGTGGGTTCGATTTGCTCTCCCTCTCTCTTTCCCGCCCGTCATCTCTCTCTCTGTCTCTCTCTCTCTCTTCATTAGCACGTGGCCATCGCGGAAGTTGTTAGTCGTTAAAGTTGTGGTCCACATGTCTTAACCGCAGCTACGCTCCACTGCACTGATTTGCATATAGCTACAGTGGTTACCCGTTATAGTGACAGCAGCCATTACGTATTATTCAATATTTATATATTCAATTTTACACGATCACTTGGGTACATTTTCTAAACAACTGCCTTTTCTTAAAAGTTATTCCGAAAACGTTAGTCAATGTTTTTGGCTTTGCCACTTTAACGTGGCCTTACTGTAACTAAACTGACATTCCAAGTGTCCAAGCGTCAGTTGATAATTCTTTTCTTTTTTTTTTTTTAGTTAGTTTTTTATGTTTGTTTTGATGTGCATTGGCGGCCGGTCGTCGTTTTGTGGGTTCGGCACTTCGTTCGTATTTTCTACACTTGAATGGTTTTCTTCAAGGCGTGCACAATTTTCCGTTTCGCATTTTTTCCAAATGCACTCGCATTCAAATTGTTCTGTGTGTTCTAGTAAATACGCTCATTAAATTTAAATTTCTGTAGTCGTTTTTTTTTTTTATAGACTCATTTTTAGTTTCTAATTGGGCTCGTTTTTATGGCCTAATGTTTAGGCAGTCCACATACCGAAGGTTAGCATTAGGAAAGTCCTCATAAATATATTAGAAGACTAGCGAGTATTCCTCGGCCTTTTCCGCGGCAAGTCTTGTCCTTCAAACTTTGAGATATAACTTTTCACAAAGTTGCCGTTCTCTGAAAATGTTTTTGAGGCCGATCAGATGGTTAATAAAACCAATTTCCATAGTTACAAGTGGAATTTCCAAAACTTATACTTACAGTTTTTATGTAAGGCTTTGAAAATAAGTTTGAAGCAAATCGGAAAAACCTGAAACAACTTTTCAAGTCACATTTTTCACAGAATATGCTTGGACGCTGCGTGAAGTGTGAAACCCGTCCAAAATTATTTTTCAAAAACATCCTTGGTAATGTAATCCAAATCTTTAACCGCCATTTCCCCCAAGAAGCGATGGATGTTCCGATACGTCTCACATGAAATTTATCAAATATCTTTGAAATAAGGTCGCTTGTATAATAAACAACAGCGATTTTTGCACACTTACAGGTGTAACTTCCCGTCTTAGATTGCACCTCCATCACATAAGGCTTAATAGCCCTTACGGTTAGTCAGTCAATTTATGAGAACAAACAGTTTTATATATAGAGATAACAAACTAATATCTATACTAGTCAATTTCCGACACTTTCAATTCTGGTCAAGTGGTTATTGCTTTGTGAGCTTATTAACTAACAAAACAATAACTGAAATAGATTGTGCCTTACACGTATCGTCGTTCCACTTTAAATGCAGTATTGACTGAACTTTAACCCAAAATCAGATTGCAGTCCAACTTCAATGTCTTCTTATCAGGCATCTCGAAAATTGTTCCCGCCTATCGAGACACAAAATCTATAAATCGCATTTGCCAACAACAAAATCGACTGTTCGCACTTAATAAAATGTATTTTTTTATGGAACTTAAATATTTTGCCACTGACTTGGCTTTTTTTTTTGTTATTTATTTAATATGCAACGCCCTTAGCCATATGAATATAAACAGCAGCCGAAGCATTCAATTGGGAACGTGTCTAGAATCGTAATGCTTAAAAACCTGCTCTATAGCAAGCGGCTCTATGAATGAAAACTCTTTTGTTTTATTTTCATCCACTTTGTGGGTGGTTTTGGTCTCTACTGGTGTCTGTTGTAACGACTTTTGACCATGTTTTATTAACTGTTTGTAACGCCAGTTGATTGAATTCGTCACTTTTTTGGAGAGGCCTCTTTGTGTTGAATGAATCACACAAATTTTTATTTTACTGACGAACTCTACATATACTATATTCTCTTAGGGATTTTATATTTAATCCCACACAATTTGAAAAAAAAATATATATATATATATAATACGTATTATACTACTTCCAGTTTAAATTCAATCACACTTGGTTACACAAATTAGGCTGCCATCAATCATAATTATCTAATGTGCACCAACAAAATTTCTATATGTCATTTTTGCAACTTTTTACGATCTGTCGATTTGCATAAATTTGATTTTTGTCATGTCCTCGCATCGTGTCAGCTGTCTCAAAAGATTAATAGCACAATTGCGATCAGCAAATTGTCGATTTGCATTAAATTTAAAATAATTACATAATTGGATAAATATTTGTGACACGCAGCTGCGAAACAATGAGTTCGACCATTATTCCAATTTGTAAATGGAACTTTATAAAAATCAACACATTTAGTTTTTATAAACAAATGTGTAAACAATTTTCAGAGTTCGACATGGCCCCCAGAAGAACAATATTTAGTCATTCGGTCAGTTTTGTATTGTTTGGCAAATAATTTGTTGATTTTGGCGCTGCGCCTAATAAACATATTCTATTTTATTGGTTTCCGTTTCTACTTAAACCAGAACCAGCATAAAAATATTGAAAACTAAAACGATTCGAAATAAAATTAAGTGCCCTCTCTCTTTACGTTTTATTTGCAAATGTGTAATAATATGAAATATATATGGAGCATATTGCCAGGGTCCAGAGAAAATGCCTTCTTTGCCGCAGTTTGTATCAGATATTGTTATGACTGACAGCGACAGCTGTTCATATAAAATCAAGTCTATGTCCATATGTCAGTTTGAAATCCCTAGATTTGGGTAAACTATCACAACTAGAGCCAACAAAACTTGTTGCCTAGTTGTTGCAATTTTAGTTGTAACCCAGAAATCTTTTAGATATTCATGGAAATGCGCAACTTATGGGATTAATTTATATTTTTGTACTTTACCTTGAATGGCAAAATAGTTAACATTCCCTTGATCGTGGAAACTGTTCAAAAACATTAAAAACAAATCGTAATACGATTTGATGCATAAAAAATGTCCATATATGCACAAATCTCGACTAGCTTTATATGGAAGTGCAGCAGGGATCCAATATGGTAAATTGTTTTCTTAATAAACAGTTTATAGATAGCCATGTGTTTAAATAATTTGCATATACCATTCACATTATTCATACATAATCTAAATGAGTATTTTGTTACTTTCAGAGGGCCTACCCTATGTGCCGCATATATGCTATGTGGGAGAAAAGGTCTACAAGCCTTCGGTGGGTTCATGTTTCTTCTTCGAGGAGGTCAAGGAATGCTGCTGTGCATCCGCTTTGGTCAGCGAGTGTAAGTGCGATTGGAATGTTTTTGGATGAGTTTATTTAGCCAGCCCCTTGGATATATGATCATAAAATACTTATATAGGTGCTACACCGAAATCAATGCTAAACACTTACACACACCCATCTCAAGATCAACAAAACGGTGCTAATTTCATAAACAAACCTGAGAAAGCCAGCAGAAATGATCATTTCCAAACGCAACCAAATCAAATCATGATAATTAGATTTAGTTTATAGCGCTAATTGAAATAACTCAGCGTTTTGTAGGCAACAAAGGCGTCATCATACGAATAGCTTTAAATCATAAAAACTTTTGCAGCATTTGGCAGCAACTATAAATTTACAGGATAATTAACAGCTATGTATATTATTCTTTCGCAAAGTTTACTATGAGTTCTCGAGAAAAGAATAAACATCACACTTTGGATAAATAAGGTGCATGCTCATAAATAAATATGAGCAAAGCTGCCAAATAAATAAACTAGCCATTTAGCATTGAAATTCAAATGCTACACATTTTTGCAGCTGATGATTAATATAAAGGTTTTCTTGTCATCTGAAACATGAATTGTCGATCAATATTTACTTGATTATTTTATTGATACCCAACAAGGTGACTCTACAACGCGATGTTATACTTTGCAGGCCACTAAATTATATCACGAACGGAAGTAGAGAAAAAAAATCCAAAAAGATAACCAAACAAAGCTCTCAATTAAGTTCGTTGTGTTCACAGAAAAAAACACATTTTTACTTCAAGCCTTCCTAAGATAAGCAATAATATATTGATATAGGTATTAGAACTTAGTCTAACCATCCATCGGTTTCCGACATATGCACTTGATGCAATAGGATAAAAAAACTATGCAAATTATCGTGAGTATAGCTTTAAACTGAAGAACTAGTTTTCATAGAAGCAGACGGACATCGTTATATCGTTTCGGCTGCTAATACTGATGAAGAATAATATGGATCATGGGGCTGAAGATAACGCCTTCTATGCTATACCCCCTCAACAAGGGTATAGAGCTTGGTATCTATACAAGTTTTGCGATAGATATATAAATGTTGGATTATCAATTTCTCAATTAACAATATCTTGACTTTTTTCGAAAATTATAATAATAATAAAAATAAACATTTCTTTTATCAATTCCAGGGCGACACATCTCAGGTGCTTCATTTAGTCCACCACAAGCCATGCTAAGCTCCATACTGGCTTTGCTGAGTTTACTTCATTGGCGAACCAGAAGGCGTTAAATATATTAAACCTAAGAATGGGGCGGGCCCTGGGAATAGTGTATAATCTAGTGCAACATAGTCATAGTCACGTTGGTATCAAGCGATGCAACGCGGCGATTATTTAGCAATTATTAAGTGTACTTAGTTCAAAATGTTTTTGCAAAAATCAAACTTACTTGGTAAGCATTGTACATGAATATATTTAAGCGTTAATAAATATAAATTTGTATGACTAAATATGTGGGTTGGGCATTTAGTTCTCTCCTATGCATAATAATGCACATAGTATGTAGCCACATATTACATTTATTTACGTTTAAATCACTGAAATATTTGTGGCTGGGGATGCTGTGTTGTGTGTGTAACAAAATCGTAATCTGATGTGTCGTGCACACAATACAAATAGGAAAAACAACACATAGTATGAACAAATTTTAAAAAACAATGCATTCAAGATATGAGTTGCTTGTAATGCCTATGCTTGGATGGCAAATATCGTTGCTTAAATACTAGTTGGGGTTGCATACCTTAATCTAAACGGTCCACTAAACCTCGAGTTCAGCAAGTCGGCCTTAAGTCTATTTGAAGTCTACCACCTCTCTTGGCTTTATAAGCTGGTGCGGCTGTTAAGTGTACGCTGCAAAGCATTCACGCAGGACAGCACGTCCTCGTAGTCCTTGGACCACTCACGCAAATTACGTTCCAATGTCTCCAGTCTTGTTTGACCCAGCCGCATGCCGCCATGTTTGATGGCCGCATAACAGGAGCATGCCAGCAGCTTGAAGCACTGTCTTCGCACCGCATTGTGTGAATTGCTCTCCCAGTTGGGCGTGCTCGCCACACATTGCCAAGCCATGCTGACATAGTCCACCAGTGCATCCCAGTGTGTAGAGTCGTGCAGACGCTTCGCCTGCGTTTGGAGTACTCGCTTAAACTCATTGAGATGTATGGCTGCCTTTGAGTAAGCAGCGGCATCTGTTTTTTTGCAAAGTCGCGACGTGGGCAGAGATTTGAATATCAGCCTTTTGGCATAATACAGCTCTTGCTCCAGCAAACTACAATTAGTCAAAAGAAATGTAAAATTTAAATGTTTTTGAAATACTCAAATGGCAATGACTCACGTAATGTCTGGTGTGGGCAGCTGGGCGCGTATTTTCTCCTCGGCGCTTTGTGTATCCGTCGCCGTCTCCTGTTTTATATTGCACATTATCAAGTCAATAAGTTGTTGCTGTGAGAGGCCCTGCAGTAGCGCAGGCAGTGCCACTTCGCTGTTCGTTTGCGCCACGGGACGATCATCCATTTTTAGTTTTTTCACAATCGGCGTACCTGGCCATAGTTGTTGTTTTGTGCCGCTCAATTTGATGGGTGAATACGTTTCCATTGGCATTGGTTCGGGTGGTGTGCTGCCCATGGTCAATCGTTTGCGTGGTGAACTGCGCAATATCATGCCACTTGTTAACTGAAGATTTTTCGTGGGCGTACGCTGAAAGGGACTGCGTATTGCACTGCCGCTGCCGCTGACGCCGCCATTGACTTTGTCCGGTGAGAAGGTCGTTGTGAAACGGCGACGTCCACGTTGCCGTATAATAAGCTCGTCTGGTGAGGGCAGCGGCGAGAAGCTAAAATCCTGTGCCTGTGCCACATTCAAATCATTGTCCACACGCAATCCCAGGCCCCCGCCAGCGCCGCCTCCACCACCATTGGGCGTGTTAGCTGTTGCTGCCGGAGTGGGTTCATCGGGCGTGCGGCGATTGGCATTTGTTGGTGTATTCGCAACACGAAGCGCTTCCAGACGATCGGGAATTTCAGCTAGCGCCATGCGCGTCTGTAGTGTCGGCGTCGTTGTCGTCATTTTTGTAGCCTTAGTAGCTGCAGCTGTAAAATTCAACAGGGAAAATTAGCCTTCATCGCCCTGCAACTGATGTTTTTCGATTGTGTGTAAATGACTCTTCTAATCTTTTCTTTAGCTTGGTCTCGAATCAGCCATTTACCTTGCTTGTTGCTAGACTATTATTATTTTGTTTAGTTTTGTTTGCCAAAATTGCGCCAATTCATATGGCAAGCTCGGACAGGGCTACCAAATAGTATAGAGTTGTCGCTGCTCGCTAAAAATATTGATATGGTAACCTTACCCATGGGTGTGCAGTTAGCCATCTGGCATCATCGTTCTTTTCTTTCGCTCCTTTCATTACCAACGCCGGCGTGTCGAGCTGCTATTAATTTGTTTCAAATTAAATTTATTTGAATTAATTTATAAAATAATCATAAAGAATGTCAATGATGAAGCGCACTGCTTTTGAATGGCTGCATAATAATCATGTCAACATATTTGGCTTTGGCGATTGAACCAGCGGCTACCACTTGAACCACGTGGTTTCTTTGCACTTGTTGAAACTTATCAATGCTTAAATTAAAATGAGCAAAATTAAAATAGGTAAGTTTAAAACTTTGCAGGATCCGCTTTTTAACAACTCGAATGATGATAACTTCATATCCCAAACCAGAAAAATTATGTTGAAATCTATTTAACATGCATCACCATCTGACAACGAGTTGTTTAATAAATTGATCCTTTTCAGCCATTGTCATATAAATATATTAATATATTCATTTTATTTTAGTGGAAGTTCTATGGAGAAGCAAATTTGGAGGTTACACATAACCTATGTAAATACATATGCTCGGAAGTAAGTCTTTCAATACATTAATTTTTAGCTTATTTCGTTTCTCCTGATGATAACTTCATACCCAAATCAGAGCAATTATGTTGAAATCTGTTTAACATGCATCACCATCTGATCCTTACGCATAAATCTCTTAATCCTTGATTTGAAAACATGTAAATAATTTGTTTTAATTTTCTTTTAGACTTTGGGCGCATTAAATTGGCGGAATAGAAATAGGAATGACGCCCTTGCCCACGCTAAAAAGTAAGTCTTATATTTATTATCTTCCCAACTAAATATTTTTTACTGATGACAACTTCATACTCAACTCAGACCAATTATGTTGAAATCTGTTTAACATGCATCACCATCTGATTTTGACAAACATTATTTCTTCCTAATTTGTTAATGCATTAAACTAATTTTTTTAAACTTACTTTGTTTTCTAGGCACAATGCACATTGAACCAGCGGACATGCATGAATTTAATATATTAATTTTATTATACAAAATAGTTTAATGTTCATATCAATAATGTGTAAAAATAAACTTATAAACAACTTATATAACTGTTCAACACTGCCAACAACTTTGCCTCTCCATCAACGACTCCATAGCAGCAACAACAGCGTTAAGATTATGTCCCTGTTGCTTGGCTGATTCCAACTGATGCTGCCACTGAATTCTGGCATTACGTTGCCATAAACCACCTCCTGGTTGGCAGCTGGACGCACCGCTGGGCCGTGCTCAGTGAAATCTCGTTTCTTTTTGAAGCTTTCATAGTACCAGTCCATGCCATCTTTTCGCTCCGCCCGCTCCACGGCCAGCGGCGCATCGGGCTGAGTGTCGGTGCGCTTTTGTGCCTTCCTGGCAATTAGCTGCTGCTCGCTTGCAAAGCTCTCATTGTCCGCACTGGGCGTGGTGCGTTGATACTCCTCAGCAGTGGGTTGTGCCAAAAGCGGCTGCTGCTGATTGTGTGATGTAAACACCTTGGTGATGGTTGAACGGCCACCGGGTGGGCGTACAGGTGCCGCTGCCGCTCCTCGTGATGGCTCCGCGGTCACCTGACCGCTGCTGGGCGTGGCTTTATAATCAATGAACGGTTCTGTTGTTGTGGTAGTTACCCAGGAATGACTTTTAATTTGTGCCACATGCTCTTCAGGTGGCGGTATCAACAGTATGGTCTCCGCTGTTGTTGTTTGAAACAGTTCCGGCGGACGCAGAAGCGTTACTGATTGCGCCTCCAGATCCTCTTCATCGTATTGGGAATCCTCCGCCTGTTGCTCGCTGGATGCACTGCTTATTGCCGCGTCTGTTGTGGTTGTTGTTGTGGAACTACTTGTTGTTGTTGCTGCTGTTGCTTTTGTGGTGGTGCGTGCAGTTGTCATTGGCCTGGTGCTCTTCACAATTGGCATCTGTGTGGTCACATCGGGCGTTATTTCGGTGACTTCATAGGTGGCCGTCTCGATACTCTCTGCGCTGCTGGTCGGCTTGGGACGCGCCTGTATCTGTTCCTGACGCACTGCAATGGGCACAAAATGACGCTCCATATGCGGCTTGCTGGTGACATTTACCGGCTCCACCAGCCCACGACGCTGTTGTGGATCATGCACAGGCATAAAGCCGCCCACATGGGCGGGCACAATGGGTCGAAAGCCGCCGCGTTCAATGCTCGACGGCTCACGGAATGTGGTGCGAAAGACGCCAACGGTTGTGGCAGCGCCGCTCTCGTTGCTCAACGCCTCCTCCGCCGAATTGGTGGTCACTTCAGTGTCTCCATAGCGATTCCGTGCTCTGGGAACGGTCTGCTCCTGCTGCTGCTGCTGTTGCTGCTGCTGCTCCCGCAAGTACTTCTCGAACTCGGCGCTGTTCGGCTGATACATGCGCGTCTTTCCCCGCCCAGTGGGCAAATCGATGTGCGCCATGCGATGTGTGGCTGGCATCGGATCATCCTGATCTGTGCGCTGTTTGCGTCCGCGCTCGCCAAAGCCGAAAAAGCGACCCAAACTCAGGCTGGGTATGGGATAGCCAAAGAAGGTGAATGGTGAGCCAGCGCCTGCGACTGGCTGTGGCCGTCTATTGAAGTACTTGGTGTGCAGCAGCGTATTATTCAGATCGATGTTGGCACTTGGCCCTGCCGTCGGCTTGGGACGCTGCGAGCTGCTGCCCACCGCATTGGTGGCATCCGGCACATCCGTGGAGTCCACATACTGCTCGTAAAAGTATTCGCTATCGCCCACCATCGGCCGTTCGCCATTCACCTCGCACTCATCGCTGAAATCATCGGGCAGATCGCGCTGGAAGACATCGCCGTGCTCGTTCAGCAGCGGCAGCTGATTGCCATCGGTGCGTTCGTTATTATCGCCTCCATTGAAAAGCTCCATGCCGACGCAGAGGCTGCGCTCCATCCGAGCAGCGCGCAGGAGACGACCATCCTTGCACTTCGGTCCGGGGTAGGGAAAATTGGTCTCCTGCAGCCAGACGGAGAGCCACTGCATCTCACAATTGCAATCAATGGGATTACCTAAGCGGAACATGTAACAAGATAAGTTAATATAAGTCGGTGATCCTCGAAAATCAATCAATTGGATTTGCCCTTGCGAGTCAATGTTTTGTAGTTAATTTTATACCAAAGGAATAATATTTTTTATATAACAACAAAATTCCTTTAGCTCTGCAGATCTTTCACCTTGCTTGGTTATCCATCAGATTCGCAACGTGTGAGCCGATTCCATTTGTAAGGAAGGTCGTACAGCTATCCCCTTATCCCCTTAAGCGCTACTCAAGGATTTTTAGATAAGTCTAAATAGTATTCCAAATAATATTTGTCAAACATAAGTTCAGCTTTGTCTTAGATCTCATAAGCTAGATTCAACCCAGATCTTTCAGTTCGGACAATATAGTAATCGAATGCAACGAACATCCGTTGCAAATTCTATGATCTAATCTTACCATCCACATCGAGTATGGCAATGTTGCCCCTCAAATTCCGAAAGGTGCGCTCCTTGATGGTTCTCAGTTGGTTATTGCGCATAGATAATACGCGCAGTCTGGGCATGGTCTCGAAAGGGGAACCCTGGGAAAAAGATGGATAGATAGATAAATCGATTTCTTTCGTGGGCTTAAACCTCACCTGAATTCTGCATATTTGATTGTTATCCATCTTCAGCTCGACCAGCCAGTTGAGCGCCTTGAGTGGCATGGTGGATACCAGTTTAACGGCATTGGTGGACAGATCCAATACCTCCAGGTTGCGCATGCTGCGCAGTCCGATGTTCTCCATGGTGCGGAAGTGATTGTTGGACAAGTTCAGAAAGACCAACGAATTGGCATGATGGAAACTCTCTGGCGAGATGAAGCGCAGTTTGTTGTATTGAAAATGCGAGGCCAGCAAAGAGGGTAGCTCCTCGAAAACGTGATCCTTGAGCTCCACCAGCTTATTATCGGCCAGCACGAATTCCTGCAGCTCTGGCAGACCCTTGAGTGCGCCCGGCTGCACGCTGCCAATCTCATTGCTGCTCAGATCCAAATACTGCAACTTGGGTAAGTTTCTAAAGGTGCCCTGCTGCAGCTCTACAATGAGATTGTTAGATAGGCGAATCTCTACCACATTGCGCCAGGCATTGATCACATCGGAGTGCACACGGGAGATCTGATTGTAGCTGAGATCAACATCCCGCAGACTGTGCAGATTGCCCAGACCCACCGAAATGTCCAGCAGCGCATTGCCGGAGAGATCCAAGTACTCCAGCGAGCGTTGATTATCAAAGGCGGTGGGTGAAATGCTGCGTATGAGATTGCGGGACAGATCCAGTTGCTCCAGCCGGCTGTTGTTGGAAAAGAAATTGTCCGTTATGGACTCCAGCTTGTTCGACTGTAGATTTAGATTGCGTAGCTCCGCGAGCGGCAGCAAGGCGCGCTCGTCCGCCTGGCCTAGCTGATTGTCCTGCAAATGCAGCAGCTCCAGCCGCTGTATGCCTATGAATGAGGTGTCCTCCAGCAGACGGAGCTGATTCTGCGCCAGACTCAACACGCGCAGCTGGGGCGCCGCCTGAAAGCCATGGCGAGCCAGCTGCTCGATATGATTCTGGCTGAGATCCAGCATGCGCAGATTGGGCAACTGCAGGGACTTGCTGCCCGCAGCGGGCAGAGCGGTAATCCGATTGCCACGCAACGAGATGCGCTCCACAATTTGTGGCAGGCCCGGAATGATGGCAGCCAATTGATTAAAACTAGCATCCACTTCGAAGAGACGTTCCAAGTGCATGAATGTGCCCGGATGTATGTGGCTCAGCTCGTTGGAGGATATGTTGAGCGTCTCCAAGAGACTGTTATGTCTGAAGGTGTTGGCAGCCAGATCGGTTAGGCCATTCTCGCTGAGATCCAGACGCCGTAGGGAAGGCAAGCCCGCCAGCAGCTGTGAGTCCACGCGCACAAACTGATTCTGGGCAAGATCCAAGCCCTTCAGCCCAGGCAGATTCCAAAAGGGCAAAGGCAAATCCGAACTGAGGCTGTTGTTGCGCACACGGAGCTCCCGAAGCGCGGGCATGGCCATCAGGGCATCGCGTTCGATCAGGCGCAGCTGATTGTTATTCAGATGCAGTTGCTCCAGTGTGCCATGGCCCCGCAAAGCGCCATACGGCAGCTCACTCAACAGATTGCCGCTCATATCGAGGAAACGGAGCGAGGGCAGGGCATCTAACAGTGCCCGCAGCGCCTCCACATGGGCGATCTCATTGTTGTAGATGTGCACGGCCTCCACGCCGCTGCCGGAGGCCTGCAGGAGGGATTCCGGATGTATGCGACGTATGAGATTGTTGTGCAGATGGATGGTCTTCAATTGGGGTGTGCGCAAAAAGGCGCCGTACTGCAGCTCCGTGATGCGATTGTCATTGAGATGTAGCTCCGATAGATTCGGCAGGTCCACAAAGGAGCCGTCCTCAATGACATTGATAATGTTATGATCGAGTCGCAGTTTCTTCAGATGCTCCAAGTCCTTGATAATGCGTCCAATCATGCCCACATCGGTGATCTGGTTATGGGACAGCTTGAGGCTAACCAAATTGGGCAGCCGGGCCAGGGCACGCAAATGTATCCAGTTGAGTCCGTTCCGACTCAGATCCAGACTCTTAAGCGAGATCAAGCCGTCGAATAGGCCCGCCTCCAGGCGTGTCAGACCCGTGCCGCCCGTGATGTGTATGTGCTGCAATTTGGGCAGATGCCGGAAGCTGAGCGGCTGCAGTTCGGTCAAGGAAGCACTCTGCACACTCAAATAGGTCAGGCTGAGCAGGCCGGAGAAGTCGGGCAGATGCTTCAGCTCATCGCTCTGTATGGTTATGGCCAGCATATTGATCATGCCATTCAGGCTCTCCGTGGGTATGCTGCGCAGCTGCGGCTCCACAATGAATATCTCCACCAGGCTGTTCTCCAGCTCATTCAGCCAGCCGTTGGAGACACGCTCGATGCTATTGTAGCGCAGCATCAGGCGCACAATCTGCAGATTGCCAAAGAAGCGACCCGGCAGCGCCGGCAGCTGATTGTTCTCCAGCACCAGCTCATCAATTTGCGTCTTTATGTTGCGCTCCACGGCCTTCAGGCCATCCATAATCTGCGGCAAATTGCTGTGCGAGCACCTGCACAAAGAAGTGCTTAGCGCTGGCTGTAAAGGATGCCCCATCCGGATCGACTCACCATATTTGTATCTCCTTGCCGCGCAGTGAACAGCGACAGGGCAGAATGGCCTCCGAGGGTGGACAGCTATCCGCTCGCACAAGCGCTGTCCAGGCGGCATATAACAGTAGGATGGGTAGCAGAAGCATCCTGCGATTCGCTTAGTTCATGGGAATAGTTAGGCCTGACTGGCACATAGCTTAAAGACCAATAAAACGGTTAATGAAAACTAGATAAGACTGAGAAACATACTCGGGTTCGAATGGACTTTTTGAAGGTTGGCTCTAATGTTTGCATCATGTGTGTGATATATAAAGATTGTGATAGGGAATTTAAAGCTGAAAGTGGATTAGCCCACTTATCAGGAGGTCCAGGCTAGCCAGGCTTAGGTATGGATGGGAAAAAATAACCAAAGCAATAAAAATGGAAATCCATATATATTATCTATCGATCAAGGCTGCAAACCAGTATGTATAGATTTCTTCAAATTAAAAAAAAAAAAAAAACTTGAGAGAGACCTAGCACCAAAGTATAAATAACTTTGGCCCCAACCATTGCACTTATCTAACCATAATTGGTAGATGCAAATTTGGGTTAGAGATCAAATCTAGCCCGTGTCTTGCGAACGAAAGTATGTATGGCTTACAATATTTTCAGTGCAACGGGCAATTATAAATTAAAAAGCTTGTTTCATTAAAATTTAAAAAATTTATGACAAACTAAGGCTTAAACCTAAGACTAGGTTCAAGGATATACCAAACTAGCTTTTGGATCTGTAGCTTTTATATCAATAATTAAATTCTGTAAATAAAATATATCAACTAAAAACAAAATCTTTTCCAATCAAGTTATTTTCGATTTAATTCTAGATTCTTCATAGGTGGGTTATACTGTATAGCAAAAGGTATCAAAATCATGAGATCTACATTCAAGGAAAAAATCCAAAAAAAACTTAAAAAATGGGTTTTTGCTAAAAAGAAAAAACTGATTATGGTTCAATCCAATTGTCTGGCACCTATAATCTTATTAGCCATAATTTGATAATATTGTTCACAGCAATCATAAAGAAATTATCATGATAGTACAAGTACGCAGCTGATTGTACTTGTCCATTCACATATTTCAAAAATATAAACAAAAAACAGTTATATGTGGGGTCCCATAATGACACCTGACAAAGTTCAGGTCGTATATCAATTGGAATGTGTAAATAAATCAATCACCATTTGGCCAAAAATAGGTAATAGATGGTAAGACCTGCCCCCCCTGGTCAAGACATATTTTCAGTCTTAACTGTTCCAATGAGCCTTAAATTAACGGCCACAGACTGTACGGCTATCTAAATCTATGGAATTATCAGGTCTGGAATAAATCAAATGGTTATGGATTGATAAGTTCGTTGGAGAGTTATCTCTCTCTCTTTCTCCCTTGCTCACTCACTCTCTCTCTCTCTCTCTTTCTCTCTATCTATATTTTCCTGGCTATATAAGTGAACCACACAGCAGCTGCTGTCAGACTTAATAGGTTCCTTCTAGAATCTACAATGCGCTACATTTTTTACGTTCTTCCGCTTTTGCTGGCCTTGGGCCTAGCGTCCGCTGATCCCAAAATCACTTTGCATGGGATGGTCAAGTCGGATGAGCGCATACGCTCCCATGGTTACCCTGCTGAGACCCATGAGGTAGTCACCGAGGATGGCTACGTGCTGACACTCTTCCGCATTCCATACTCGCACAAGCTGAACAACAAGGCTCAGAAGCGTCAACCCGTGCTGCTGCAGCATGGCCTGTTCAGCAACTCGGACTGCTGGCTGTGCTCCGGGCCGGACAACTCGTTGGCCTATCTGCTGGCCGATGCCGGCTACGATGTCTGGCTGGGCAATGCACGGGGCAACATCTATTCGCGGGCCAACGAGCTCATCTCACTGAACAGCCCCAAGTTCTGGCATTTCGATTGGCATGAGATTGGCACCATCGATATCGCTGCCATGATCGATTACATTCTGGACGAGACACAGTACAAGCAGCTGCACTATGCGGGTCACTCGCAGGGCACGACGGTCTATCTGGTGCTGCTGTCTGAGCGTCCGGAGTACAATGAGAAGATCAAGTCGGGCCATTTGCTGGCTCCGTGCGCATTCTTTGAGCACGGCAAATCCGCCATCTTCCGATGGCTGGGCCCCTTGGTGGGCACACCTGGCGGTGTTTGGAACCAGCTGCTGGTGGACACTGAACTGATACCGTACAATAATATTGTCAATCGTCTCGCCGACAACGGCTGCGGAAGCGGCAGTCCCTACGACTCAATCTGCAAGAATGGATTCCTGATGTTCGCCAACGGCGGCTATGAGAATATTAATCTGGTAAGTGTCATGTTTATAATTCCCAATCGGTTCAAACGCCGAGCTGACTTTTGATTTGAGGCTCTTTCTAACTAAAGACTGTTCTCTCTCAATACTTAGACTTCCATGCAAGCCATGATTGAAACGCATCCGGCTGGCTCCTCCAGCAACCAGGGCATTCATTATCTGCAGCTGTACGCCTCGCACGAATTCCGTCAGTACGACTGGGGCAGCAAGAAGAATCGTGAACTCTATGGCCAGGATCTGCCGCCAGACTATGATCTGAGCAAAATAACCGCCAATACGCACTCATATTCCAGCCAAAATGATGCCCTGTGCGGTCCACAGGATGTTGACACATTGGTCTCCCAGTTCGTACATCTGACCGAGGATCATCGCGTGCCCTGGTCGAGCTTCAATCATTTGGACTTTATTGTGGCCAAGAACATGAAGGAGCTGGTCAACGATTTGATTGTTGAGAGAATTAACAGCTATGAAGGTCGTTAAGCGATTGACCTCTAATTGATCTGTTAGGTCAGACATTAAAATCTGAAAACTTCCCAAGCTATTTTATTGCTAAATTTATTGGAGAGCTCATTTTGATAAGATTGAAAACATTTGAATTGATAATAAGTATGTTATCAGTGCTTTGCCAGACAGTTCTTTAAGTCCCTATCAGCTCTTGCATTTGAATAAAGTCAGCAAAAATTATTAGAAAAACCCGGATACTTATAATATCGCGATGAAATCAACAAAGCGCCCTATAGCTAATAATATAATTTATGTGATACCAACTACAAACCTCTTACCCCATTTGAGAAACCTACCCTTTCAACCAGTAGACATTTTTAATGCTCTATAGTTTAGACAATGCCCAGTCGCATCACAGGAAGTGCTACTGCGTCTTGTGCAATAGCCCCAGAGACTTCATAAACTAAAGCTCTCAACATGAATATCTACAATCCAGATATACCCATGTATAGCTATAGTCTACATATGCAGCTGCGCAACTTCGACCAAAAAAAAAAAAGAAACTTTTTGCGCCGAGAAGCGTAACATGGCTTTTCAACAAAATTTTGTAATCATTTAACAACAAAAAATAGAAGTTGTGGCTAAAGTTGGGTAGTGAAACGGTCTGAAGAGCTGCCGCTGCTGCTGTTGCCCCTCCTCTATGCACTCTCTAAACGCATGCGCGCCGAGTTTACATCAAACGAACCTTGAAATTATTGTCGTTTTCATCATTGTCTGTAATTTCTTTGGCTTCCAGCTGCTGTTCAGCTCGTACACCTCGGAGCTGTACTATGGATCTACGCCTGCCGCAACTAAGTGCGACTTGAAGGTCTCGTCTGTGGCTCCACTGGAGGCATCTCTGGCGACAGTTTCACCACTTTTTTGTTATGGGGTTTCTTACTTTGCTCTGATTTCTTTTGAGTCTCTCCTAATTAAATAACTGTATAGTTCTTTGGTTTTGCCTGTACATTAAAACTGTATATTAGATGGAGTGCAGAAACAAAGCTTCAGATCTGCGCAGTGAGATAATAAATATGCTGTTCTCATTTGTTTGTAAGTCAAGACGGGACAGGAAAAGCGACCTCTCTGGGCAATAAATACAACTATAGTGTGATCGCTGCAGGCAATAACAATTTATGGGCAAACGCACAGCGCCATCTAGCGCCAGATAGCACACCATAGCAACAGGGTTCAGAATGTCTTCTAATAATCTTACTCCAATATATAGCGTATCCAATATATCCGTGCGAGTTTTAGTTTGATTTGTTTGAATTTTTAAATTTTAAATACTTTAAACTTAATGCAACTTTGATTTAATGGATTTTCATAAGCTCCACGTAGACATTAATTTATTTTCTCTTAGGTTTTTGTGATCTTCACTTCACTTTCAAGCGCACTTTTGCTTTTGTTATAAATTTTCTGTAATTTAATTAAAAACGCACTAAAACGTTGGTTGTAAGTCTCGGGAGCCGTCTTGCCGAACCGTCTCGATTGGAATGCGCGTTAAAACTGTTTTCAAAACGTTATGTGGAGCCAACGGATTACTCAAGATTTCTACAAATGTTTTGAGCGTTCAACATTAAGTGGAATGCGGGGGAGTAGCGCCAAGAAGCGAATGCTTCCTGCCTGTGCAATATCGGAGCGTATTTGGCGCCACACTTGGCTGCTTCTCACTCACCAAACAACTTGGCTACTAACTTGGCTCAGAGCATTTGTGGAACGCGTTTTGTGGACTCGAGTTGGCAGCTGAACTGTGACCAGGCTCCAGGGGTCGTCGCTGGCGTTTGGACCGCCGCCTGGTCATGTTGCTGTCGGGGCGAGGTTGTTTACGATGAGATTATATTGAAATTGCAAGTGAAATTAACGAATTATGTGAGGAAATTGCTTGTTGAGCAGCGAAGGCCACAAAGGGAGTTGACTTAGGCAGAAGTTTATAATTTAATGATATAGATATAAATAATGTGGCAAGACTTTGCCAAAATTAGCTACATTTTGGTTGCCAACTATTTTATATAGCTTTTATATATAGATATTATGTGATTACACTCGCACTCAAGCTTTGTTATTATGCTACTACTTTACACAAATATAATTGGTATATTATTAGAATAATTATTAGGTATCGTTATAAATTCGGCTCTTTCAATAGCCATTAAAGCTTTTTAGCCACAAAAATGTATTATTCGTTTAAAAAATCTAAAAAAAAATTCATAATCATATTTTATTCTGTATAAAATCTTTAAAATACATTTTATCATTAAATCTTTATTCAAATGGTTTCAAATACACTTGCTAAAGTAAAATTGCAGCATAATGAAATTTCTTATCAATCGTTTTGGAATATTCTTCAAAAGTTTCAGTTT